AAACAAAACAAAACAAAACACAACAACACAACACAACACAACCAAACACAACACAACACAACAAAACAAAACACACCACACCACAACCCAACCCAACACAAAGTTAATTCTGGGTCTTCTACCCACCCTCCCATCAGAAATCCATTGTGTTCTGATGCTAATCACAAGCTAATTCTGGATGCTTTGTTGGCTCCGCTACCATTTGTTAAACATTTTGGTAAAACACTTCCATTTGTTAAACATTTCTGGAATGTTCAACGTTTCTCATTTGTGCGACAAACTCTTACACAAAGGTATGTGTACAAAAACAAAACAAAACACAAACAAACAAACAAACCAACCAACAAACCAACCAACCAACCAACCAACAAACAAACAAACAAGCACACAAGCACGAGTTCGAGTTCGCTGCTGCTGCTTCTACTATTCTGACTGACCACTACTCACTCCAAGCCCAGGGGTTTTTTTGCGACAGTAATTTCAGAACTGTGGCAGAAAACCCTGCTTTCCAGCAGCACCGTCGCAGAAAACCCCCCTTCCAGGTAGCACCGTCGCAGAAAACCCCCTTAACTGTGCAACTGTTTAAAAAGACCCCTAAAACTGTCGCAAAAAACCCCCGTCCCACTAGTAGCTCCTGGCGTTACTACTAGGAACCAGAAGCTATATACTAGTAACAAGGGCTGCTGCCAAAGTCCAGTTTGGACGGTCTCTCACAATGGCAGACTATAGTGGGTGTCCAGGGGTTGTGGGGCAACATCCCCTTGAGTCTACCATTGACCATCATGAGGCAGCTCCGGTTCCATTGTGTCACGGGCAGTAATTCGCAGCACGACCATCACAAACTTAAAGAGCTTTGGTCCATCTCCAGTCCTAAACCATCCAATGGTCTATCTACCTGCAAATCAAAATCGTTTTGCTTATAGTAAGGTGGACCCGGGTCGACCACCATTGGAGTGCTTTCGCTGGGTTTGAACAAACTCTGCCCCCCACCGTGGCCGGGCCGCCCGAGCGTTGTCCGAGTGCACGAGCAAGGTGCCCGCCACGCGCAGCGCACGGTGGATGGCGCAGAAGGTCTCCGCCTCGGTCCCATCCGCCCGTGACGACGGAAGCGTCCCCGGCGAAGGAGACCCCCAAAGACCAGTCGCACAGACCCCCCGAAAGAACAGGCACCAACTGTTTCGTGTGTGGAAGACTAGACCGGTCCACGTTTCCTGTAGTGTCCCGCGAGTCGTGGGGCGTATACTGGGTCGGGCACGTCGCAACCCGGATGCTGCACGGGCTGCGCGGAAGCAGCGATGTTAGTGACGTAAGTAATGACGTTTGGATGTGCTACGATTTCTGCACGGCGGGAGGAAGATCTCTGTGTTTGCTACTTCGCGGCATCGCTGGTGAGTTTTGATCCGTTCGCTAATGAGGGTGCGTACTGCGGTAATTGTGTTCCTTGGCTTTTTCGAAACACTGATGATGTTACTGTTCTGTACTCTGGTTGGGTTTCTTCCGTCGAACTTACTGAGTTTCAAGTTTCGGTAAGGATGTGAAAGCATATGTTCGTTTCAAGTCCGCAGCAGTTTTGTAGTTCGCAGCATGACAGAAAGGTCTTATGTGTTCCGCTTAAGGGTTTTTTGTTCATGTTGTTGTCGAGGCTCACTTGGTCCAAAGTATCAATCGTAGGAACAGATGAAAGGGTTTGAATGGTTGGATCCTTTTGGGGGAACAGTTGAGCTGTTGAGCTGTTTTCAAATAGAAACCTGGGCTTAACCAAAGCACAAACGTTCTACAAACGTTCTACAAAGTATCACGAATCGAACCTGTGAGTTGGATGAATCCCAATAGAAGTCGTTGCATGTCATATATGCCAAATCAACGCGAAGAGACTCGTCCACGAAAACATTGGTAGTACAATTACACGTTCGTTGAGCACGCAGGGCCACAGGGAAGAAAATCATCGACTCGTAGAATTCAGTATGTCCAGCCACCCTATTTCCAGCCGTGACCCTCCGTTGGGGCTGGACTGGATCGGATCAATGGTTTGGCAGTCTCGGTGGGGTGATGACATCAACGTCTCCGTTAGGCATCCTAAGATGAAAAACGGTAAAATGAACATGTAACTGCACTGTAAATCCGGGAGTTCATACCCTAGATCCGGAGTTCCCAACTCACCCGAACTGGAGGGGACGCTCCAAACGGTGCTCCGACAGGTACAGTACCCGGTCACGGCCAAACGGCGGTCAAGAGGTGGGGCGCTTCGCCGTCACCTGATCCGCAAGAGGGGGCCAGTCAGCACAAAAAACGTGTGTATTTGTAAAATATATACACTTATGGATATGCGTACTGACTCGACAGCGGTGCCACACGCCGGCCTGAGTGAGAAAACCTAAGGAACCAGGACAGGTGTCAGTAAGTGGAGGCCCTTACTGCAAGGTTGGAGGCCAGCAAGACTCAAAACACTGCAAGGTTGGAGGCCAGCAAGAGTCAAAACACGAAACGCGAGTAGCGATTAGTAACAGAACCACATGAACCACCATGAAAGCAAACCACAGCGAGAACAACAGGTAACCAGTTTGGCAGGTACGTTTGCACGGACCCCAGAGGAGGTCTTCGTTGGCCACCGCTCCTCTGGGGCCCCGGTGGCCCCCTGCTCCAAACCTAAAGGTTCCCTTTGATTCCAAGGGTTACACACACACGCCTCCCCGAAGAGAGCATGTGTGGCCTCCATCCTGCCCGGAAAGGAGGCAAGGCACATGTGCACGCAAAAGGGACAGATGAAAATGCAAAGGACGAGACAGACAAAGGTGTGTGTGGTTGCCGATGAAGAAGGTTCAAGTGAAGAGGGACAACCGATGAACCAAACCTCATTGTAACGAACCTGGGCCACCTGAACCTCGATGTAAGTAGAGTACGCGTGCGTGTATGTGTGCAAACTAAGGTCCGGACGATAGTACGCGCAAGAGAAAGAAAGGATGAGGATGAAGAGACATGAAGACAGAAAGACATGAAAGAAAAGAAGGAAAAACGTCTGTGGGGGCCGATGAAAGGGGAACCAAATGAACGGGGACAAACCGGTGACAGTCCAAACCTCATTAGAAAAACCTGTTGCAGAAGCCTAGTTTGCTTGTAAACACGCCGCGCGCGAGGAAAGAGGGGGGAGGGGGAGGAAGAAAAGAGAGGGAAAGAAAGAAGGAAACAAAGGTGCTCCCAGCTACGACACAAGCGTCCAAGGACACACCAAAAGGGAAGGGCTCCCAGCTATGACGAAAGCATCCAGGGACACCCTCTTCCTGTGAAGAGAGGAAAGAGAGAAGGAAAGAAAGAGAGAGGGAGAGAAAGGGAGAGGAGAGAAAGGAAGGTGTTCCCAGCTACGAACAATCGTCCAGGAACACACCAAAGAAAGAGAGGGGAGATCCTGAGTATTCCATTCAGGAAAACCCCAGAAAGCAAAGACAGAAAGGGGGAGGGAAGGGGGAGGGAAGGGGGAGGAGGGGGGACTAAGTGCTTGACAGGTTCCAATGAACCTTAAACTTGCTTTGACCGCTATGGTCACCTTGTGCCCTGCCGAAATGGCCGGCTGCTTTGACCGCTGCGGTCACGTGAAGGCATGAGCCAGCTTGGAGTTCCAAAAATGAGACAAAAATCTGAGTTCTTGTGGCATGAGCCAGCTACTGTCCGCTCCGGACACCTACGTTCCCAAAGCCGGGGAACATGGACAGACACCCGTTCGACGGGTCCACGGGAGGCACTCTACGGGCTCATCCCAGGTTGGCACGAGGCCAAACACACTTATGGATATGCGTACTGACTCGACAGCGGTGCCACACGCCGGCCTGAGTGAAAACCTAAGGAACCAGGACAGGTGTCAGTAAGTGGAGGCCCTGACTGCAAGGTTGGAGGCCAGCAAGACTCAAAACACTGCAAGGTTGGAGGCCAGCAAGACTCAAAACACGAAACGCGAGTAGCGATTAGTAACAGAACCACATGAACCACCATGAAAGCAAACCACAGCGAGAACAACAGGTAACCAGTTTGGCAGGTACGTTTGCACGGACCCCAGAGGAGGTCTTCGTTGGCCACCGCTCCTCTGGGGCCCCGGTGGCCCCCTGCTCCAAACCTAAAGGTTCCCTTTGATTCCAAGGGTTACACACACACACCAAAAAAAAAAGAAAAAAACACCCTTTCATCTATAATTGACTGGTATTTATACAGTAGTTATAATATATATATATAAATAAATAAATATATATATATAATATATATAGAGAGAGAGACCACTTTCAACGAGTATGTTGCTCATAGAAGTATCCAAAAACACTCCATGGGACTGGAATAAATGCCGGCCTACAATTGGCCAATGAATACATACCTTCTCGGCCGAGAAATCTCGGCAGTCCTATGTCAGTCTCGTGTCTGGGGATCATTAAATATGGACCCAACCCACGAAAGGTCCTGAAATCCTGCCCAATACCGAACGAACACAGCAAACAAAAGTATATGTGTTTTTGTCTCGTGAACCACGAAGCAGAACCGACGAAGACGTACGCAGGAACTTCTGACAAACCGAGGGCGTTCAGTCGATGGCTTTCAGTCAATACCATTTCAAGTCATGGCAACTCGAATGAATTGTGGCAACAAGGCACCTTACTACGAGGAGCAAGGATGCTACTAGGGGCTCCTGGCCTTACTACTAGGAGCAAGAAGCTCCTAGGAGCAAAGGGCATCGCTACTAGTTACTAGTAGCAAGAAGCTACCAACGTAGCTCTTGGTTCAGACTGCAAGACTACCCGACACGACGCCGCCAAGTGTCCCACCGGATCCTGTGATTGGTCCATTTTCTTGATTGAGAATGAGAAATCACCAGGATTTTTGTTGTGCCGAATGTGGAATCTTGATGACTACACTCAAAATCCCCCAGACATGGAGTGTAACACCTCTTCGTACGGGTATTCATCAAGATTCAACCAGGACCAAAAGGCATCTTCGTTGGAACTTGTAGCCGTGTTGTTCACAGCTCTTCCCAAAAGGAACGGTCCGAAAGGATTCCCCCGCTCCAAACCGTATGAAGATGTATGAAGTATTAAGGATCAAACACATTGAGAGACACTCCATTCCACCAAAACGGAAAACTGTCACAAAACTATGCTGCGTACTGTCAACACGTCCACAAACATGTGTCGCTCTCCGATCTTCACACTCAACCACGCTTAGCTGTATAAACGATCTCCTTCTTCCAGAGGCCGGAGGCCACCATCAACCACACACAAAACCCACCGGCCTTCTCCGGAGGTGCCGCGCCGCACCGGCGGCTCCGGGAAATTCACCTGAGGGTTCTATCGCCCGTGACGTCGAACACGTCATATGATATGTGGGTAGAACCTCGCCCGTGGCGGTTTTTCGTGTCCAAGATGCGTTTGTTTCGTTCGTTCGATTCACCGGGTTTCGAAGGGGACAAAGAACCAAATTAACTAAGCGGATTGGAACTCCTTGTGCTGAACGGAAACTGGCGGAGGAACTTCAGAACCATCCAGACTCCTTCCGCTAGGTGCCACGCAAACATATGATCCACGGAGCGTGGTGAGAGCCTGGAAACAAAACGCGGATCAGTTAACGACCAAAAGCAGCGGTAGCGCGGATCAGTTAACTCTGGCCTGTGTGCTTGATTGACAACGGCACCGGGTGTGGTGAAGGGCATCGTTCAAAAATGATGAATCTACAAAACTGGGTCTATGCTTGGGCTTTGTTTTTGGGTGACCGTCGTCGTTTTCCAAGGGTTGGCACCAGTCAAGCTACTATGCCCTGTGTGTTCACAAGCTGAGTTAGATTATCGCCACATCATCCTTTAACAGTGCCCAGCACAATGGATTCCAATCTCTTGCGCAGGCCACTTGAGCCAGTACTAATTGTAACGCTGTTGTTTCGTGTGCTTCGGCTTCGTCTGATCTTTCTATACCAATGCAAACCACTAGCACTTTCGAGGTCATTTAATGGTCTCAAATCCTCCTCATGGAACAAATCCATTTGGTGTGACAAATGCAAAAAGACGGTCCGGTTCACTCTGAGCAACTGGGCAATCGCAAGAGCAGCGCAGCATCACCTGCTACAAGGCAAAGATTCGAAACCTCAGTGGAAGAAGCAGGCCACGCTGTATATGTTTCTGGTGTCAACACCACTGTTTGATACTGTTTGCATATATCTGATATAACTGGTTGTAGGAGCAGGATGAAGAGTGTTTGATCCCTCCTTCAATGACCCGACCCCGACCCGAGCCGTTTGCATTTGGCCAGCAGTTGATAGCAGTTGATCCGTCGGATCCAGTGATGATCAATCGTGACACCACAAAAAGTATGAGAAAGTGAAGATTCACAGTGGTAAGGGGCCCCTTCTCAAAAATTGCTATTTGAAGTATGAAAAACTGTTTGGTGAAACAAGAGCAGTTCATCCCCCAAATTACATCACCACTCTCAAACACGGCAAGGGGGCCCCTTCTCTCCAAGATTCCAGTTCGGCAATGCGTCCGCCCGTCCGCCGCCCGTCCGCCGCCCGTCCCCCGCCTGCGCCAAGCAACTCCGAGAGAAGGTGCGGAAGACGCGGTCTCGCCTGGCGCACGAGGGAAACTGTCCCGGACGGGCTGCTGGCGCTGCTGGCCTATCCTCAGGTGGGAACAGACCCCGCAAATCCACCGCGCTTGCATCTTCGAAACGGAAGTAGTTGGAGGTGTAAGGAGGGTAGGCTCTTGATGTATAAATGTATAAACGTCTTCATATGGGGATCAACCAAGAGTCTACAATCAAGTGAAGTGTCCAGGTTGATGGGCTGAAGTGGATTGCTGAGGTGCCTCGAACAATGGAAGGTCGTGAGTTCACCGCGGTGCTTGGAGATGCACTGCTTGTCATGTCATTGCGATACTTTGCAGCACGAGACCATGTCTGAGGATGGCCAAGGAAGTCCTACAAAACCCAAACCCACAGGCCCACAGCCCCCAAACAATCTTCAAGTGATTTGCAGTGCGGATCTTGCTCGTCTCGGAACGAAACACTATCCAGGCAAAACCACGACGTCGTACGAACGAGCGCGGGTCCCGCGCCTGTGCTCCACGCAGACCCAGTTCGCTTGGTCCCGATCGGCGGTGGCTTGAGCGCAGACCCACTCACCCTGCGTTCGATCTCCAGTCGGAACTCGACATCGGACATGTATCTTTGAGGAGCTTGTTGGTACATGTTTTCCTGGCGCGCCAATCGGATCAGCTGCGTTTGCAGACTGGCCCTGAATGACACCTTGTATCGCGACAAACAAAGGGGAAAGCTCAGCAAGTCAGCGGCGACTTCCATAGAAAAAGTCCCTCAAGAGACACGCTCTTGCATAGCTCGGGGACCACACCGCGGATATATCCAGGCCCTAGGGCCATGTCAAGAAATCCGCAAGTCGTTTCTGCCATGATGCCAACAACACCTAACTGACAATCCCAAGGCATCTCTCGCAAGCCATGTAGTAAGAGCGAGCTTGCCACAACTCTTTCCTGCCCGAACCAACGACGCATTCGCCAAGGGAGTGAATGTCGCCGCCTCCCCAGAGAAGGAAGTTGATGCACTCCTCGCTCCAAGCACCCCTTCTGTTGCAGATTGAGAACTGATGGTTGACCAAAGATATTGGGTCTCTCTTGAGCTTCTAAGAGCCTGGGTTCGCGTTGAGGGTGAGCTGGATGATTCATATCTGGAGCTTCAACCTTCGAGGTACCTGGTTTGTCTTCAAGAGGCAAAGGCAAAATGGAAGACATCTTGAGAGAAGCTTGCCCCTCGCTGGGAGAGAAGTTCCTGGCACCCAGTCTACTGACCCTGAAGCCATCCTCATCCAACTCATCTAAGCGCCATCTTTCTGTAGGGCCCGAGGGCATCCTGCGAACTTCAGCACTCAGCATGCTTGTGTGCCTAGTCTTCTTCTGCAGGTCATGGTCGAGAAATTCAGCCACAATAGGACTCGTGGGTACGATCTGATGGATTACTATGTAGTCTTCCAGCAATTCCATGATCAACATGCACAGCAATGCCAGGGCGACAGATTGGTTGAAGAATGCCGACCGAGAGCCAAAGAAAGTTAGATCTTGGTATGCAATTGCCCTGGCGAAAATGATTGCGAAGATGATAGTAAATCGAAAGTACCCTACGTAGACCTTGGTCTCATCATGTAGTTTGCTGAAGGCTGTTGGCGCACAGGCCAGCGCACAAGGAACCCCAATGGTTCCCTTGAGCGCATAGAAGCAAGCAAGTCGCGACCATCCTGTCCGTGCCATAATATTGAGAAGCAGAGCAAATCCCAAGCTGCCCAGCCAGGAGTACCCGCCCGAACTGATAGCACCTCCAATAATTCCCATGAGGCGAGCTCCCTCTGACAATCCATGAGAGGCGGCCAGCATGTAGGGTACCGCTACATAAGACACATCTCCCGGGACAGCCGGCCGTTGTTCGACGACCAACTTCATGTACACGAACCTGGCGTAGACCACCATGAGGTTTTCAACCCACGCAGATGACAATGGCAAGAAGAAGGATGCTACAACGGATCGGCCGGAATCCAGTAGCAACCTGTAAGCCACCACAATCGCGCATAGAAAAGTTGCTCCCCCAACGGTTGAGGTGAAGTTTGCTAGAGCCCAAAGCAGGCAGGAATGAAATCGGCGCTCTGGGTATTTGCTCCAGGTCTGGTAGTATTGTAGAGGTGGGCCACTTATAAAGATGACAGAGGCAATCAATATCGTTGCTGGCAATTGGGCCACATGTGCTGCTACTGCCAGACCCATAGTGGTCGGCACCAGGCAAATGCAGGAGATGATCTTGTGCGCAAGGGTTAGGTCTTTTTCACCAGACAAGCTTGCCGCACACATTTTCCAAACGCCTGGAACGCAGAAAACAAGGCCATTCACCAACATGAGCACACCTCGCCACCATGGAAGTTCTCCCCCTGCCTGTGCTTCAAAACCTATGTCGATCCAGAACTGAAGCGTTTTCCAAAGGAAAATCACTGCCAAGAACTGGAGCACGCGTCGTCTTGAATAGGTCCCAAAAGCCTTCAGATCCGGATCCTCATGGATGCTTTAAACAATAGGACGACCGAAACCGAAACCGAAGCAGCCCGAACCGAACCGAGAGCAACCGCCGCAACTCGAACACCGAGCCGAACTGAGGCAACATCGATACCGAACCGAGGAAACGCACACCAATACCGAAACCGAACGCCGCTGCGGCCGTATCCTTTGAAGCGAAGCGGTAAAAAGGCAAGATGGAACCCACGAACCCGAATGCAAACACGTGCTCGAAAACAAACACCGACAAAAAATGTAGGAGACACTTGTGTGGGACACTCTTGTAGGACACATTCTTTTCGGAAAGGTTTGTGGGACACTCTTGCAGACCACTCTTGTAGGACACTCTTGTGGGACACTCTTGTCGGACACTCTTGTGGGACACTCTTGTAGGACACACTTGTGGGTGGGGCACTCTTGTAAGACACTCTTGTAGGACACTCTTGTGGGACACTCTTGTAAGACACGCTTGTGGGACACTCTTGTCGGACACTCTTGTGGGACACTCTTGTAGGACACACTTGTGGGGCACTCTTGTAGGACACTCTTGTAGGACACTCTTGTAGGACATTCTTGTGGGACACTCTTGCGGAACACTCTTGTAGGACACTCTTGCGAAACAGTCTTGTAGGACACTCTTGTGGGATACTCTTGTATGTCACTCTTGTGGGACACTCTCGTAGGACACTTTTGTCGGACACTCTTGTGGGGCACTCTTGCGGAACACTCTTGTAGGACTCCTTTGAAGCCTTTGGGACACTCATATAGGACACTCTTACGGGACGCTCTTGCGGAACACTCTTGTAGGACACTCTTGTCGGACATTCTTGTGGGACACTCTTGCGGGACACTCTGGTGGGACACTCTTTGTTTGCCACTCTTGTGGGACACTCTTGTATGTTCTTATTGTCGAAAACAAACACCCAGACAATTTTTGGCACTCTTGTAGGGCTTGTACGAGACACTTTTGTGGGACACGCTTGTAGGGAACATTCTTTGCAGAAACCTTTGCGGGATACTCTTTTGTGCTCTTGTGGAACACCTTGAATGACACTTACCCTTGTGGGACACTCTTGCGGAACGCTCTTGTAAGACACTCTTGTGGGACACTCTTGTCCTACAAGACACTTTTGTGGGACACTCTTGCACGACACTCTTGTGGGGCACTCGGGCACTCTTGCAGACCACTCTTGTCGGACATTCTTGTGGGACACTCTTGTGCGACACTCTTGTAGGACACTCTTGCGGAACAGTCTTGTAGGACACTCTTGTGGGACACTTTTGTCTGTCACTCTTGTGGGACACTCTCGTAGGACACTCGTGTCGGACACTCTTATGGGGCACTCTGGCAGAACTGTCTTGTAGGACGCTCTTGTGGGAAAGTCTTGTGGGAGACTCTTGTGAGGACACTCTTGTGGGACAGAATTTTGTGCACGAGACTTCCTCAAAAACTCACACGTCGAGTCTGCAAAACGAGCGCTTCGTACGAGACGTCCTCCAAAATTCACGCGTAAATCCTCCAAAACGAGCGTCAAAAACTCACGCTTCGAGTCTGCAAAACGAGCGTTTCGTACGAGACTTCCTCCAAAAGTCACGCTTCGCGTCTGCAAAATGAGCATTTCGTACGAGACTTCCTCCAAAAGTCACGCGTCGTCCAGTCTCCAAAATTTGCGTCAAAGTCTCCAAAGCGAGCATTTCGTACGAGACTTCCTCCAAAAGTCAAGCGGGAGCCCCCATCGGAGCACACACATCAAGCAAGCAGCTTCGCGATTCCAGCCCCTCCAAACAACGCCCGCTCACACGCCAATCCCAATGTCACAGCGACATTCACCTCCACCACAACTTGCAGCCTCACGATTCCCCGTGCGAGAAACTTTCCGTACCGAAATGTCACCTCCATCACACCTCGCAACCTCACGATCCCCTGCGCCTGCCACGAAAATCGCACTTCCATACCTCAAGACCCGCACAAAATACTGCGCCTGCCACGAAAAGTGACAATGTCATATCATGTGAGCTTCAACAAAATTTGCACCACACCACACGTTTGGAATGATTTCGACCCGTTCTGAGCACACTGCCATCCACCAAAATCTCCGTTTCAGCTGAGACTTGTCACGAAAACAGAGCTTCGATGCAACACCCTGAAATGCAAATCCCAATTTCACAGCCACATCCAACACCCCAAAAACACCAATCTCCAAACGCCAATCCCAATGTGACTCTATACTGTCTTCTACAAAAACAAGCATCGGAGACCTCTCCTCAATATAGCCTTCAAGGATCCGACCTCTATACTAAGAATTTGATGGCTGTCAGCCACACACCACGGTGGCTGGTGGCACACGCAAGGAGGGGGCTTGGGTCCAGGTTTGCTGCTGCTGCTGCTGCTGCTGGGGTTTCAAACCGAACCGACCGAAAACCGAACCGAGAAAATGGGTGATCAATGCTTTCAATGACCTCCAAAAGATTGACTCGAAATCAAACCGATTAGCATTGGAATTTAACCTAAGCCGAACTGAAATAAATTGAATTATAAATACTGTAAAATGATATCACTAATATCAAACCAAACCGAAAAACATTGAAACAGCGCCCAACCGAACCGAACAGGATCGTTTCAACCATCCTCGACTTCAACGTCCAAGCTCTTGGACAGCTCTTCGTCAGGATTCAAGATGACCTGCCCAGACATCTCCATCAAGACCCGCTCGTTGTCAACTAAACGCACCAGGCTCATGCGACCCTTCTGCGTGGAGATCTGTAGAACCTGCTGGGGCTCCAGCTCAATACAGTCGGGGCCTGTCTTCGTTTGCAAGGTCTCCATCTGGGGTCCTAGCTTCCTACCAAACTTCGAGTGTGCCCCTCTGGGCGGCTGCCAAGCGAAGATGACCTCTGGCTCCTCTCCAACAACCTCCACCTGGTCCTCACTCAAGAGGAGGATGTGAGCCAAGCGCCCTCCAGCTTCTAAGCGCCTACGAGCCAGTATCTCGTCGGCTTTGCCACCATCTCCTACGATGATCAAGCAATGATCCTTGTAGTTCAAATCCAGTGCGCTGCTCTCTGTGGCCATTTTCAGGCAACCAAGCAATAGTCTCTCCCATCCCAGATGAAGCTGGGACAAAAAACCCTCAGTCTTAAGCCAAAATGGTTTCCAGTTCAGCCTTGCAGATGTTTTGGTGTCGCAGCACCAAGCCGGAGGGGGGCGGAATGGTGAACACTCACGAGGATGGCTACAACTTCACACCTGGAAACAATAAGTGCAGGCGTGATTCGCGGCTCAGGTTGCAGCAACACAAAGTAACAAATAAGTGGGGATGGATATAATCCAAATGACCATCAAAATGAATCCATCGTTTTTCAAATGAAACATGTTGAAGCCACCCAATGAGATGGGTCGCCAGGATCAGTCTTGACACCGGAAAGACACCCGTCCAAGTCTGCTCGAAGCTTCGTCGTCGCGTCGCGTCGTGCGACGACGAAACCACTCGAAACGCGCGCCTCCCCTGAGCACAGCTCCACCTTCGGACATCAAGCCAGTCACGAGACCGTACCGAGCCGCGGTCTTTCAGAATTCGATCAAACACCATGCGTCGGGGACCCCTAAACCCCCTAAACCCTTAGTGTGTTTGGAGATGTTGAACTCCTCGAAGGGTCCAATGCAAATCCCATCACGTTGGACTCTTGTACTCTGAAGCCTCATTGGGGCCCTGTGGAGCTTGTGACCTTAAGTGAGCATCACGCATGGAATGATCACTTGATCAAAGTCCTCTGCCAGACATGCTTTGCACTCGCGAGTCATCAGGATCCGTGTTTCATTTCCCTCTGTGTCCATCCCCACATTTGATCCTCCTCAAGCCGCCACTTAGTGCTTGTGAATGCCGTCGAAGCAACAAACGTTTGGTGAATCAAGACTGAGTCTGACAGCATCTGAAAGTCATGTTGTCTACTGTTCTCCTTGCAGATTGTCCCTTTAAACACTCACCAGCTTTGTAGCGAACCGTGGGGGGCATCGACTCGCGTGAACGTGTATGAACGTAAGATGAGCTGTCCACCGCTGCGCCTTCAAGGGCAAGTCAGCATCAAAGGCAGCCGCCAGCTGCCACTGGCCACCTGGAAAGCAAGCGCGGAGATCAAACAAAAAAAACACAAAAAACTAGAGAGGAGGCGATTTGGACGAAGGCAGGGCACATATTGACAGACTGACAAGCGCTGCCTGACATGTGCGTTTATGTGATGTTCTGACACTTGTTCTGGCATCAAACCTGGTATGTCTTCTGACACATCATCTAGCAGCTAGCAAGTATGGTCGGGAAATGTGTTCTGACACCCTTGCTGGCACGTGTTCTCACATCTATTCTACTGTCAGTTCTCACATGTGCTCTGACATCTCTGGCATGTGCTGACATGTGCTCTCGCACCGAACCTGGGATACGCCCTGACATGTGTTGTGACATATGGCCCAACTTCCGTTCTGACATGTGCTCTGCCATATATTCCAACAATTGTTCTGCCGTCAAGCCTGCCACTTGTTCCGGCATATGTTTGGACATAGTTTCGGACACATGAGCTGGCATTCTATAGAGCAGAATTTGTGACATTCTATCCGACGTTTGGCGCTCTATCTGGCATCTATTCCCACAATCTTCGGGCATTATACCTGGTATATCTATTTATTCTACTTTGACATTGTTGGGGGCATTCTATTTGGCATCTACTGTGACATTCTGACTGCTATCTATTCTGGCATCTGGCATTCTGACTGGCATGTATTCCGACATTCTATCTGGAATGGCCGGCCCGTGTGCAGGTCCGTGTGTGCACAGACTGAGCTGGAGCTCTCTATCGTGTTCGGATAGGCATGCGCAAGCAAAAAACAGCGCCTATGCTGCTCAGCAGGACGCTGGGGCGGAAGGGGTGCGTCGCAATTACCCCCGAGTCTCTACGAGGATATCTCCAGAATTGTTCTACTCACCAGTTGGTCACAAGCATCCAAAAGCGGGCTTCGTGTACCTTCTCACAAAGCGACCGCGAGTGTCCCGTCTTCTTGATT